GCTGGAAGCGAACGCTATCGGTCGTTTGCTTCGAGAAACAGTACGAGTCACAAGACTCAGAATCGGATGAGTTTGCAGATACAGAGCTATCCTCAGATGTCTGCGACGAGGCATCCGACCAAACAGAGACGGTCGAGGACGACGCAAACGAGGCTAAGGAGGAACTGTAAACCGCATTGCTAAGGGAGGGGACGCAGCCGGGGGAGATGTCCGCGTCGTACTTCATATTGAAGTTAACTGGATATTAGAGTCGTGGCTTGTTGGTTATAAGTCAAGCCAGTTAATGTTATTTCCAGTCGCCGTCGGGCTAAGGTCGCCAAACGTTCGTTAGTGGGTTGAAGCGCGAAGGATCGAATAGCTAGATCAGAGGCGGTGCGCGTGTTAATGTTAGCCGCCACAGAGACGAGTCCGGGATGTGAAAGAAGATTGACGTGTCGTTCGACTATACGAGCGAGCGGGCAAGCGACTTTACACTAACGAGTCCGGGAGACGAAGCTGAGACGGCGACTGGAGGTGAAGTGTATCGTGCAAGAGGCATTGCGGAAATGCTTCAAGACCGATATGAGAGGGCGTGACGGAAGTCTAGTACACTACCATCGATAGAGGCGATCGACTAATAGGGCGAATGAGGGTGGACGATGAGTCGTTGGTATAAGGAGAGGTTGATTGGTTGTTGTTGTTCGAGGAGATGAGAGGTGGTGAGGTGTGAGGCGGAGAGGGGAGAGGAAGGGGTTGAGGTCGAGGCTGAAGTCGATGCCGCGAGGCTATCGAGGCGCGTGTAGAATATTAAAAGGAAATAAATGAGGGATGACTCTTCGGCTTATAGCCTGAGGGGGCGAGGCGACAAATGGGTGGTGACAGCCTGGCGTAGAGACGGTTTGGTGGTGTGACTCCCGCACAGGGTGGCGAGTGACTGAGCGCTGCCGGGCTGGGTCCACTGCTGTTGAGTGACTGTAGGCGATCTCGGCAGGAGCCTAGAGGCTTAGCTTCAGAGGGCGGCAGCCTAACACACACCAGCTGGGTGGCAAAGCAAAGCGTAGAGAAGAATGAAATAAGTATAAGGGCAGATGGATAGGGTATGAGTAACACAGATAGGAAAGAGGTCGTCTGCCAGTCGTTTGCCTTTGTTGCCTTGACTGTCGTCGGGTAAACGATGACCAGGCACGGAGAGCTAGCGCTGTGTTGTCGTGTCGCAAGGTACAAGTGAATGCCGCTGCGAGTCACAAAGAAGAACAGGACGAGGGAGTGAACCGGGAGGAGGAGTACCAGAGAGCTAGAACCAGAGAGGAGAATTACAGAATACCGGAGTGGAGAGAATCCAGACCAGACAGCAGGCGATCGAGTCTGCTGTCCGTTCTTAGACGAGGGAGATGATGAACTTCATTGCGACGGATGTGGTCGATGGGGGGAGAATGAGAGGGCAGAGAGTGCTAGAGGGGCCTTGGTCGTTTTGAGGGAATGGGATGGGGGTTGAAGCAGTTGGTACCTCGACGCAGCCCCGGGTGGGCGGGGAATCCATGGTACCCAGCAGCCAGTTACGTGTGAGCTGGACCGTCCAGTCGGCCAGGCAGATACGTACCGCCTCTAGTCATCACTCCCTGCCCGTGATGGGGGAGATGGACCCAGCAGCGCTCCATGTCGGTACCTCTAATTACCTGGTAGCGCAGCACAGACACACACCAGCCGTGGTACACGCAGGCACAGCACTGCACAGCACAGCACCGCAGCCCAACCATCCATCCCAGCCTGCCAGTATCAAGTGGCCAGCATGGCTGCATTTAAACCGCCCCTCATTGGCTGCGGCTGCACCTCGTCAGTTGTCCGGCCCACCTCCCCTCTGCCACAAGCCGCCTCTCTGAATGGCCAGCAGCTGCAACCAGAGCAATCCCCCTGTTCGCAGGCTTCGGTGTACTGAGGAATCCGTCGAGCCTGCGACACGCAGAATACGACCCTACAGCTCCAGATTAATTCTTCAGCCAAACCCCTTCCGTCGCCAGAGGGTGGGAGAAGGTTTGTTCTTCGCCATTTGAATTTTTCCTGGCTTCTCCCGCCTCTCTAGACGCCAGTCTCGACTGCCAGTGGTAGCGCAAGCGCCTCCTCCCCCTCTTCGGGGTGTGGTTCAAGCCACGCTGCCCATCACGACCGAAAGGGAAAGGGCAATTTTGGTTTTCACTCTGAGCCAGCACTGCCAAGCCAGATAAGCCCAGCCCAGCCCAGTCCACCCACGACTGGGTAATGCGATGACTCCCACCTCTTGTTCCCAGAGCGGGTCTCATAATACTTTCCAGCCTAGTGCGTGTCCTGGAATAAGTGGTATTATTAGCAGAATGGGCGTGAACATGACCTACAAAACCTTCGTCATCATGGCTCGCCAGTCACGTTATCGTTTCCCTGCCTCGCCCATGCCGGACTTCGGAGCTGCCCTTCTGCCTACCAGTCGCGGATGACGTCTACTTGACTCGCTCAGCCTGGCGCTTAGGCACGTCTCGGCCGTGAAGCGTGAATGCACCATGCGAATCCAGCACGGGGGCGCGTTCCCATCCGTTCGTTTCGTCTTGGGCCTGGGCATTCTAGAATCGCCCATCCAACCGGAGGCGGTGCACCCGGCTGTTTGACAGCAACGGCGTGCAAGGAGCCCAATCCACTCCGTGTCGAACATCTTAGGGCAGTTGGGCAACGCATGAGCTGGCCCGGCGCGCTCTGAGTCACATCCATCTCTTCACCGTCCAGGCACCATCTGGGAGTTCCATGGTCCATGCGTAGAAACGAGACTGAGGTCATCTTCGTGTTTGGCAAGATGCCAATTAACGCGTCTCGACAGTCTACCCTCGTCAACTAAAATTCGAGGCGAGATAATCAGCCCACGGGCGTCTATCGCTACTGACCCCGCTCTCCTTGCTGACACCGCAATCCCAACCACCACCGACATATCAAGCTGGCAGTTCCTGCATCTCTGGCCCCCTCTAAACATAGCCGCCAAGGGAACTGATCGCCTAGACACAGTGGCAGGTGAGAAGTGATTATGCCCAGTGGAGCAGCAACACCTGGCGGATTTTCTCTGCACCTCACGTGACGCATCCAACCAGGCACCAGGAATGGTAGTAGGAGGGATCTGATTCGCCCTTGACCTATTCCAAGCTTGATTTACAAATTTCTGCTTTCTTATTTGAATTGCAGATCAGGTAGAGACTAATGCACTTGGCCAATCGGTACGACCAGACTTCCACACTTTGTGGCGAGAGGCTCATACATGCAAGGGGCGTCGATCTGGATACCTCAGGCATAGAGCCTTGAATCTGCTCCGTTTTCTGCTACCCTACAGTCCCCCCTTCCCCAGCTTCAGTAGCAAGGCTACCTGTGGTTTGAGCCTCGACTGTTGTTGACGTCGGCTATGCTACTCATAATGATGGTCTGTTGGTGGTCCTATCCCGTACCGGCTGACGCTCTCGTTGGGGCTGTTGAAGTGCTTGGTGTTTCACTAACTCACGTTCCGCTCCTTCTTAAACATCAACAGTGTCGTAGTGAGAAAGTTGAAACCGCATCTTCCCGACACCCGGTCTAGAATACGGGCACACGTATAATCAACCGTAATGGATTATCTTCATCTCTCGTATTCATCCATAGATGCTACCTGGAATCACAAACGAATCCATCAATATACTGTTCGATCCAACCCCAGTAAATTCTAGACTTCCTTCCCAACTCCAGCTGAGGAGCGGGGTTGGCTCGCCGATGAGTGGCGCGGGGAGCCATAGGCTGACGCCTGGCGCTGGTGGAGATGACCATCGGGGTGTGTGTGGCACACGATGAGTCAACGAACCGCCGAACGAAAGATTCTGCCAAAAGGGGTGACCGACGACTAATTAGCAGGCACACTCACATCATCATCCCCCGTAGCAAAATTTTCCTCCTCGGTCGCTTGCCTTCGCTCATTACGAGGTGTGTGGCTCAGCCAGTCATTACAGCCGACGCGTCGCACCTGAACGTCGATTTCCTCATTGTGGGGAGTTGCTTTGCCACCGCGCGGACGAAAAGCACCGTGGCTGGATCTGAGATAGGAGGCGCCTGCCTACCGAAGGCGCTGTGAACACGGGAATGATAATCAAGGGGCGTGGCGCTGTATCATGATGTAGCACTTGATCGAGCTGCCCAAGTACGTACCACTACATGCATGGTTGTAGTTTTGGTGTTCCCCATGATCAGGGATCATGATTTCTTCCAAGCAAACAACCCGGGCTATTCGCCATCTCCTACAATACCCGGGAAAAATCTGGCCATCGGGTGATAAGAGCTCAGCAGCGTGATGGCTGTCAGAACCTTCTTTAAAGCTCTAGAGTCTAGACTGATTGTGCATGCATTGGTGTCCTAAGGGACCGCCGATTCGCGTGGTGTCCGATGCCGCTGATCTCCAGGTACTCTTCGTGCTTCCCTGCTCAGAGGCGAACGTCAAGCCTGTTTCATGCCCCTCTGAAAATTTGGAGAGCCAAATGATTCGTACAAGAAGAGCCTACCTCGATGAAATGCGAAGACACAATTTATTCCGGGTGACGAAAATGTCCCATTTCATCGCAAAAGTGTATCATATTTGCGAGGGAATGACACGTCGCGGTACAGCTATCTGTAGTCATCACCATGTAGTAAGCAGAAAAATAGGCCATCTAATAGGACCGAGCCTCTAGAGAATATGTGTTGGCACTAAACTCCCTAGCCATGCGATATCGAGAATACTCGGCATACTTCACTGGGTGAGCCTAAACCAAATTATGACAAAGTTATTATTGGTAAACATGCACATGCGTGGAGAAGGCTGTGCGCAACTGAGATTGAATTTTATCGTAAACTGACAATACCTCGACGACCAGAAGAACTTCATGTTAGCAATTCGCGATATCTCCCGTTTTCCATTCCCTGCTTAAAAAAAAATCACACCCTCTTCTTATCCCTATGGGACACAATCTGAACACTAGCCAGAGATGTATTCTAGGCTCTTAGGTAGCATCTTAAGATGCCATGTAGGTGCTAGCATCAACACCTTCCTTGGGGAATTCACTACATGACTATTAGCTTTTGAACATCTATGCATCGCACGAGGGGATCGACTCACGGAAGGGCAACCTCGAAACGCTTCTCAATCTCCTTAAGCACGTTGGCATCCTCCTCACTGCTGACGAAGGAGATGGCCAGACCCTTGGTACCGAAACGGCCGGCACGACCAACTCTGTGGAGGTAAGAGTCGGCTTCGGTAGTGAGATCGTAGTTGATAGCCAGGTTGATACGTTCAATATCAATACCACGGCCGAAAACATCGGTAGCAACGCAAATTCTCTTCTTGAACTCCTTGAATTCCTTGTAGCGGCGGATACTGTTGTTGACTTTGGTTAGTAAGAAGCCCATTATCCTTCAACAATTGGTCTATCTTACCGTTCCTCTTGGCTGACACCGGAGTGGACAGCGATGGATGGGAAGTTGCATTCGCGCAGCAGCTTGTCGAGCTCGTTTGCACGACGAGTGCTCTTGACGAAAATGATGACTTGATTGAACTGAAGCTCATCAAGAAGATCATTCAACTTTCGGTTCTTCTCATTCTCCTCGAGCTTGATGTAGTATTGCTGAAGACCGTGGAGCGTGAGCTTGGTATCCTCGTCCACATAGTGTTCTGTGGGGTTTTGCATGAACTTGCGGCAGATAGGCTTGATGCTGTCTGAGAGGGTGGCCGAAAACATCATAACCTGCTTCTGCTGGGGCGTGGCGCGGAAGACATCCTGCACATCAGTGCGCATATCTATGATTTCATCGTCAGACATGAATCCATCCGAGGTTCCTAATGAGCGAGGAGTGACTTACCAGGTTGCTCCAGCATCTTGTCGCACTCATCAAGAACGAAGATACGAACGCTTCCAAGTCGAAGTGCCTTGTCCCGAACAAGAGCCTTAAGTCGACCGGGAGTACCGACAATGATATGGGGGCAGGTATCTTTGTTCTTGATGGTTTCGATGTCCTTGTTGATGGGAGTACCACCATAGAAGACGCCAGTCTTGATGTCGGGCATGTATTTACTAAATCGGTTGTACTCATCGCGAATCTGGTAGGCCAGCTCACGAGTGTGACACATGACGACAACAGAGGCCTCGCCATTAACGGGCTCAATTTGCTGCAGAGTAGCCAGGACGAAGACAGCAGTCTTTCCAAGACCCGACTTGGCCTGGCAAATGATATCACCACCGAGGAGTGCCTGGGGAATGCAAGTTTGCTGAACTATCGTTCGAAGGACGTTAGATGGGTGTTCCAAGAAGTAGCAACGATATGACTGTGTGCCATGTGTCCGTCCATCATCGCAGCAGAGAATTTGATACCGAGAATTCGCCAAGACAAGTTATCGTGGGAGAGAATCGAGATACAACAACACGGTTCTGCTCAGTGACTCACATAGCAATCACAACAAGAACCTGTTGAGGTTGCGAGGTGGGTAGGTAAGGGTTGGGAAGGGCAGCACAAAGGAAAGACATAGTCTTTCCATGTGATGTTTTCCTTCCCACGATAGCCCAGCGAGCCACCACCAGATGGCAGCTTGCTGGCTTGTCTTGCCCATTTCTTCTTTTCACGCTTGGTATTACCACAGGCGGTGGGCTAAAGCAGTCCATTGACTGTATCTCACACTGCGCACTGGGCGGACAGTTACACAACTGTCGCGATATGTATGAAGCTAGGGCCTCCCAAAAACAAAGCTCCTGCTACTTTGATGCTGCCAGGGGGGGCACTTCTCTCGGATGCTGCACAGCATCGCTGTGGAATGGACGGACGCTTGACAGGAGGGGGTTTGATGACTTAGGGTATTAGAATGAGAGACTAACCCTCCGATGGATGCTCGAAACCGCAATCGCCGATGGCTCGAATCAATTCAGGCTTCAACAGGAAGTCGCGGAAGCCGGTCGAGTGAATGCCGACGTAACTGCCCTTCTTGTCGACATTGTTGCCGGCAGCGGGGTCACCCTTCTTGCCGTTGGAGGCAGCGGCGGTCTCGTTGCCGCCGATTTCCTCGTCGGAGTAGTCGATGAGATCCTCTTCGTGAGACATGTTGGACAGATGGTTGAGCGAGTCGAAAGACTGGGGAGAGCAAGTATGAGAAAAGTAGTTTTGAGAAAAGTGGTTGGCACGAGACGATGTATGTCGTGTCGCTTAGTGTAACAAACACGACTTGGTTGCCGCAGATGTTGTTTGAGCCTGGAGGAGGAGAGAAAACGAAGGGTGACAGGTTTCTTCTGCAGGGAGGCTTGGTGATCGTTGAGGCTGAGGCGACGGAGTTCGCGTAGCAGAGGTGGACCGTGCGTATGTCACGTGATCTCATCAACGCGTTGCACGTGCCACCTCACGGGAAGCTTCGAGGCTAGGTAGTAGCACAGAAACAACTAGATCTATCACGGAACACCACATCTTCAAAATGGCAAAAGCGAAAGGCCCAGCTGGCGTCTCCAATAGACACATCTACAGCCGCGTCTCCTACCTCCACCAGGCAGCACATTATTTGGCCTTGAGTGCAACCCCTAAGACGGCTGCGGCCGGCAATCCACAGGTTGCCCGAGACAAATCTGCAACTACCCCCAACCAAACTCCTAGTGCCGAGATGAATCTTTCTCGGCAGTACCTGTCTAATATGAGGTCCGTGTCTCTAAAGGCGGTAATTCGACAAAGCCGGGATATGAAGCAAGAGGTTTGCAAATTCTGTGACACACTCCAGATTGATGGTGAAACATGCCATTCAACTGTCGAGAACCTCAGCAAAGGTGGCCGAAAACCCTGGGCCGATGTTCTGGTTGTTCGCTGTGCCAGTTGTGGCCATGCCAAGCGATATCCAGTGTCTGCCCCCAAGCAAAAAAGAAAATCACTTCGGGATTCCAAAAAGGACTCTGAGAAAGAGGCCACTAGTGAGAAACCTGATCAAGGCCTGCCTTGTGCTACGTGAGCGAGCGCCTGGTGCAGTCTTATAGCTGCACTAACAGTCGAGAACTCGTAGACCTTTACTCACATGCCGTCGGCCGCAAGCCTCTCTTTGGAACGTGCCGAATGCCAACCCAAATTATACTGCTGGAAAAATAGCAGTTCGAGTAGACTAAGCGAACCTCTAGTGTGAGGGCACATGAGTGCTGTTCTCAGGAAAGGAGACAGCTTCATCCTCCAGGCGCTCTCTACGGTTTCTTCCAGGGCCATCTCATTTGTGCCCCCTCCTTGGGAGCATGATATGCCCGGGGGCGTGGGCCGAGATATCCAAAATACTGAATGAATATCATCAAGGCAATCTAGACCCCATCACCATCCTGCCGGTAAAGTGGGACACCATCCAGCTAGTATCATGGGACTCAACACAAAATCTTCAAGTTAAACACGCCAGCTAGAACTCGATATTACTGGGTAGCATTTAATAACTACGAATCAAAGGCAAAATCAATACATATTAGGCTCATCTACCCGCCTCCTTAACACTCTCCTCTCCAAGAACTTTGCTCGCCGCCATGAATCTGTTCAGCAAGCGTGATGTTAGCTATAGGGTAGCACTTGGCAGGAAAGTTGAAGGAAGAGAGACATACAAGCCGCCATGCCAGGCTCCAAGGCCCCTCATCGCCTCTGCCTGCACGCTCGTCATTCTCAACAAATTCTCCGTGTCTGATAGGTTCGCCGAGAGCTGTGATAGTTGTGAATGCAGTTGAGCCTACCATGGTGACAAACATAGCACAACCTTGAGATTAGCCCTGAACTGGCAAGCAGCTCCGTTGACGGGCAATTCGGACTTACGAGCTGCCGTGACTTCAAAACACTACCGCTCGAAGACCCCGCACCTCCACGATGGATGCTCTGAGTTGTTCCGCCTGTTATTCTTGTCGCCATTGTGTTTCAATTTAGTAGGCGTGGTTGGGGTCGTGTAGTTGAAGGAAGCGCGCTGCGTGTGGAGTCCCTGCAGCCTTGCTTGGCTTTGTTGACGTCTCCCGCGCCCCTCCCAAGGGTGGGTTAATGCCACTGGCTACCACAACCAGCAACGCACGTTGAGGACGTGTTGGTACAAGTCAAATTTGTAATTCATTATTATTGCACCTTGCGTGTAGTAGCTCTAGCCATAGTCCCCATTCTAAACAAACGTATATATTTTTCATCCCAGAGGCGAGCTATGATGGCCATGGTATTGCAAGTCAGTTGATGTTCAAAAGAGATACTGTATTCATCGATTCAAGAATGTCCCGCGAAATCGGCTATTTGTGTAACAATGCCCCCATTTCTTTGTCTTTATCAAAACCCAAGCAACCCGTCATGTATAAAACTATTACCCCCTAGTTGAGAATTGACAAAATGAAGTAAGAAACAAATACAAGAAGTGACCATGATAGTGTGGTTGCCAATTTTTACCACCCGTTGGCTTCCCTTTGTTTAATCATTGGCCTATTTCGAGGGAATCCACCGTTCATACCCGGTGTTCCTGGTGGACCATTGGGACCCCCGTATTGACTCGCAGCTGTGAGTGAGTTCGCTCGGGAGTTTGCTCCCATTGTCCCCCGATCGACTGTGCCGTATCTATTGGAGGTGGTAGTCATTAAGGCGTCGTCTAGTATATTTTCTGTCGTTACAGGTGCTTGGATCTGGCTGGTACGATGCCGGCCAAAACTGGGACGGAATCTGTTCCCTCTCGATGATGGCGGCCCGCCATTTTCTGGATTTTGGCGCAATTGGCCAGCAGAAGGGCCCGGAGCCTTTCGGTTTTTCCTTGAGGTCATACTCATCATGTCAAAATTATCGGGGTCAATTACTGGAGCAACCGGGTTGTTCATCGGATCAACGTAGTAATCGTCGTCTTCATCGTCATCGAATGCCTGCTGGCTATGGCGCATGGGGTGTGGACCTCTGCGGCCAGGTCCGGGGCCGGGGCCTGGCCCTGGGCCTGGGGGAGGACCTCGTCTTGACCGCATCTCCTGCTCTCTGAGTGCAAGTTCTCGTTGGCGAAGCTGATACTCTCTTTCGCGGGGATCGGCAGGATCACCTCGCCCAGATGGTTCCTGGCCTTCAGGAATGTTATCATACACCACGAGGTGGGAAAATTCTTCCAGCTCGTTGCCATCTATCGATCCTCGTCGAGAAGGGGCTCTCGAACCTCCTCCATTCATGTGCGGTGGTGGTCTACCATAGCCATTGGGGGGACCTCCATTCATGCCTGGCGGCGGGCCACGGCGCATCCCACCGGGCTGGCTAAAGTTCGAAGAATTACGAGGCCGGGGCCCTCGCGGCGGCACACCCATACCATTTGGTGGTCCCATCATCGGACGGTGGCCATTTTGAGAAGGCATTCTGGGTGGGACTGACGACATCGTTGGTGATCCGGAAGGGGGACCGGAAGGTGGAAAAGCAGGACCGCCCTCACCTGGCTTCGGTCGGTTCCGGTTAGTGATGTTGATACTGTGAAGAATTGCATAGAGAGTCTCGATGCGTGGGATGGCAACCTGGGATTCACGCGCCAGTTTAATGGGCGAGCCCAGGTATGTCTCAACCTCCATAGGTCTCCTAGCCACAAAATCTTGCCACATGATGCTTTCCGGGGCATTCGGGTCGGTCATCTCGTCAATCGTTTTTTGTTTAAACTCGGGCGGGAATTTGCAGCCATTTGCTTCAGCCAGAAGTAATAACTCGTCGAGGACACCGTGTACTAAATCCTTCACGCCTACTTTCTCGAGGAGTGCGACGTGACTTGGGGTTTCGAAAATAACGCTTGAAGTATGGAACGCGATCGGCCTGCACGCTCATTAGCAAACCTCATCAGATGACCTGACGTCTCCAACTTACCCAATTACTCTCTCATATTGCTGTTGCCTGATATTGGGAGAAACAGTGCACTCGACTTGCCCAGTACTCAATGTCATTGACAAGGCCTGTGCCATGTCTTCTTGGATCGCTCGCGGTATCTCGGTGCTCTTATTCGCCGGGCCAATCCACATCTTCGTAGATCCCTTATGTTCAAATTCGCTTTGGCCAAGTTGGGTGAGTTCGGCACCGCAGACTAGGGATAGTACGACATTGGTGGGAAATCGCTCCTCGATGGCGGCTTCAACGCCCAGCGTGTGTGTAGTATTAATGAGGATACAGGTGTGTTGGGGTGTGACGACGGCATCGATAACGGAAGCGAGATCATAAACATCGGGTAGCGCCTTGACGCAGAGAACCACGTAGTCGAACGGGCCTTCTCTAGAAACCGCGGCATCTTCGGGATTTCGGACAACTGCATAAGGGCACGAATGAGCTCAATGTCACACAAGGCACCGGCGGCTAGAGGATTTCGGGAGATGAGAACATACCACGTCGAGGTTTGAATCGCTCGTTACCGAAACTTTGCGATCTAGAGAAGAGAGGACTTGGGTTAGAGTAGGGCGTACAGGACAAGCGCCTGGGGATACTTACTTGAAGGATATGCCATATTGAGCAACATGCTCATATCCCGACTTCCAGACTAAGGTGACGTCGCACGCGTTGGTCGCTTGAAGCCTCCATGATAAAAAAGCTGATACCGGATTCCCGCCCACTGAGCAAATATGCATTAGATCGTCGTCGGCCATATTAAAACAAAAGCAAACGGAGCTGCTTCAAGGGGCAGCTCGAAATGGAAACAAGTCGATACTCGGAGGAACAGCAATCACGGAGGGAAAGGGAATGACTATTGGGCAGAACAAGGTATCGGGGGACAAATTAGGGCTGGGTAGGAGTCGGCGGCACAGTCGTCTGAGTCGCCATCCGGGAAATCAAATGGCAGCGTCGTGAAACTTGGAAATAAAGAGATGACAGGAATGGGGCAAAAAAAACTGCATAATCAAGGACCACACGAACCTGACAGGATCTTGAGTCGGGGCGTCATTGGCGCCATGGTGTCTAGTATAGTCGCGCCAAGGCAAGATTGGATGGGCCGGCTGAGCTGAGCAATAACCGCAGTCGGGACGGCTTGCAGAGCTGGAGATGTATGGGAGAAGTGGAGTTGCCCTCTCACGAGGGTTGATTGGCGTCGTTTCACAGCGTGACGAAAGCGCCTCTTCTTGCAGGTAAATTTACCT